CGGCTCCGGGGCCGCGGAGAGTGGCCTACGGGGGAGCCTCACCCTCGCGGCGGGAGGACGGAGGGAGCCGGTGCTGGCTGACTGAAGCCGCCGCTGTCTGCCTGGAGGGACTGAGGGGCCCAGAGCCCACGGCGCCCCTGGTCACCTCGGGGTCCCAGGTCTAGAGCCATGACCCGCGAGTGCGCGCCCCCGGCCCCGGGCGCGGGGCCTCCGCTGAGCGGCTCGGTGCTGGCAGAGGCGGCCGTGGTGTTCGCCATGGTGCTGAGCGTCCACGCCGCCGTCTGGGACCGGTACTCGTGGTGCGCCGTGGCCCTGGCGGTGCAGGCGTTCTACGTCCAGTACAAGTGGGACCGGCTGCTCCAGCAGGGAAGTGCGGTTTTCCAGTTCCGAATGTCCGCGAACAGTGGCCTGCTGCCCGCCTCCATGGTCATGCCTTTGCTCGGACTGGTCATGAAGGAGCGCTGCCAGGCTGCGGAGAACCCCTACTTCGAGCGCTTTGGAGTCGTGGTGGCGGCCACGGGCATGGCAGTGGCTCTCTTCTCGTCAGTGTTGGCCCTGGGCATCACTCGCCCAGTGCCCACCAACACTTGCGTCATCTCGGGCTTGGCCGGAGGCGTCATCATTTACATCATGAAGCACTCGCTGAGCGTGGGAGAGGTGATTGAGGTCCTGGAGGTCCTGCTGATCTTCGTCTACCTCAACATGATCCTGCTGTACTTGCTGCCCCGCTGCTTTACCCCGGGGGAGGCACTGCTGGTGCTGGGTGGCATCAGCTTCGTTCTCAACCAGCTCATCAAGCGCTCTCTGACGGTGGTGGAAAGCCAGGGGGACCCAGTGGACTTCTTCCTGCTGGTGGTGGTGGTGGGGATGGTGCTCATGGGCATCTTCTTCAGCACCCTCTTTGTCTTTATGGACTCAGCCACCTGGGCCTCCTCCATCTTCTTCCACCTCATGACCTGTGTGCTGGGCCTAGGTGTGGTCCTGCCATGGCTGCACCGGCTCATCCGCAGGAACCCCCTGCTCTGGCTTCTCCAGTTCCTCTTCCAGACGGACACTCGCATCTACCTCCTCGCCTACTGGTCTCTGCTGGCCACCCTGGCCTGCCTGGTGGTACTGTACCAGAATGCCAAGCGGTCATCTTCTGAGTCCAAGAAGCACCAGGCCCCCACTATAGCCCGGAAGTATTTCCACTTCATTGTGGTGGCCACCTACATCCCAGGTATCATCTTTGACCGGCCGCTGCTCTACGTGGCCGCCACCGTGTGTCTGGCAGTCTTCATCTTCCTGGAGTACGTGCGCTACTTCCGCATCAAGCCCCTGGGCCACACTCTGCGGAGCCTCCTGTCCCTCTTTCTGGATGAACGCGACAGCGGGCCGCTCATCCTGACGCACATCTACCTGCTCCTGGGCATGTCTCTTCCCGTTTGGCTGGTCCCCAGACCCTGCACGCAAAAAGGTAGCCTGGGGGGGGCAAGGGCCCTAGTCCCCTACGCGGGCGTCCTGGCAGTGGGGGTGGGAGATACAGTGGCCTCCATCTTCGGCAGCACCATCGGGGAAATACGCTGGCCTGGAACCAAAAAGACTTTTGAGGGCACCATGACGTCTATATTTGCTCAGATCATTTCTGTAGCTCTGATCTTAATCTTTGACAGTGGAGTGGACCTCAACTACAGTTATGCGTGGATTTTGGGGTCCATCAGCACGGTGTCCCTCTTAGAGGCATACACGACACAGATAGACAATCTCCTTTTGCCTCTCTACCTCCTGATACTGCTGATGGCCTAGCTGCTGTGCAGAAGCGAGGGGGAGCAGACACAGAGAGGATGCAGATGGGCCCCACAGTGGCCAGCCACTTGGGTGTGAAGAGCCAAGGAGTGAAAAGCAGATTTGATTTTTCAGTTGATTGAGATTCGAAATAAAAAATCAAAGCGCCCCTGGTTTTCATTTTACTGATATTTAAAAAGCAAACTGGCTTAAAGGACAGCACGACTCAAAGACCCAAGCGTGCGTCAGGGCCCACCCTGTGGTCCCCGGGGTGGGGGGGTCTTCAGTGGGCACTGGAGGGGGTCGAGCAATGGCTTGGTAACCCTCGGGACCTGGTGCCCAAACGATTGTGGTCAGAATCCTCTCTGACTGACTGTGGGTGAGCGGCTTGACCACTCTGAGCCCCAGTTCTCCAGACTGCAAAATGGGAGTAACAGCTCACACCTCCAGGGCTGTGAGGACCCGGGAGGTGAGGGGTGCGGAGTCTCCAGCCCGCCGGCCCACCCTGGGCGATCAGTAAGGGCAAGTCCCGTCCTCATCTCAGCAAAAACCCTGGCAAGCCAGGGGGGTTTATGCATGGTGGTTGGAGGCCAGAGTGACCTCTGCTCCCCTGCTTCATTTGGACCAGAACCCTAAAGGATAGTCTGTGCTCGTGGTTTGTCCCGTGAGAGCTAGTAAGCTGCAGGGGGGAGGTGGGACGGGCTCATTGCTTGCAGGAGACGGGGTCCAGCCTCACCTCACAATGCCTCTGTGGCTGCTGGCTGAGTGCTGCCGAAGGAGGGTGGCTGGGCCGCTCATGGCCCCGTTGAGACGGGTCTGTCTGTTCTCTTCACACGGAGTGAGCGCCGAGGGGCTGGCGGCCCTCCCTGACCGAGCTGCCTTGCTCTCCAGGAGGGCCACCACCTGTGCTGACTGCCTGGTTCCTCAGCACAACCCTGTGCCAGCCTGGAGGAATGGGTGAACGCTCCCCATCAGTGCCCGGGCAAGGTTCTCCCCACTTCTTACCTCACCTGGCAGGGAGTGGCCCAGTGGGCAGAGCGAGAACTTTGGCCCACCAAGGCCAGAAGCCAGGAGCAGAGCCCCAGGGAGCTCCTGCTGCTTCCCGCCAGCAGCCAGTCGCTGCCAAGTCCCTGCCTTTGAGGGAAGCACCGAGCATTCCTCTCGGGCAAAGGAGATTTAACAAGCCCACCCCCTCGGCCCCTCTGCAGCTGAGGGGGATCAGCGCCGGCTGTGCCTCGGGAGTGAGGGTCTGGGCTGGCCCTGGGCTCTGGGCCTTGGTTTATCTCCACATTGGGTCGGGGAAGAGCTAGAGATCGGGTTACAAACTGGTTTGGCTACCGCAGCCAGGTGGGAAATTCAGGGAATGGGACCAGGACAGGTGACCCCGAGGACACCTCTAGGGGAGTGCGGGCCGCTTCCTTCAAGGAAACTTAGAAGCCTGGCTCCGCAGATGACATCTCCCAATTTTAAAATGTTTTTCAGAAAACTCTTGAGGCCCAGACTGAACACATCTGTGGCCTGGAATCAGCCAGTGACACGCCCCTTGCTAGCAGCGTCTGGGCCGGCCCCCAGCTAAGCAGGTGCATCCCAAGTAGGAGGGACCATGGGAGGCAAGTCGGGTCCTTTGAGGGTGCAAGTGGGCCCCGAGATGGGGCTTCAGCCCAGAACCAGAACTCAGGACCCCGGGCTCCACCCCCGTCTCCTTCCCCGCCCCTCCAAGCAGGGATGCAGAGCACTATCCCCGCTCTGGGTCAGGCCGACCTCTCTGCAGGAAGGTCATGGGGCCTGGCTGGCACTCAGCCTGCCCACGTCTCCGCGGCTTCCTCTCGCACGCAGAGAGCTGAGCTCACCTGCTGGGAGGCCCATGGGTGGGAGGATGGCACTCCTGGCACCATGAATGCCCACTAAGTGGCAATTACTGTGCTGCAAGTCAGGCTGGCCTCCCCAGCAGGGCTGCATGGGAAAGAAAGACCTAGAAGGTACATTCAGAGATGGTTTTTATTGTCTTGTCCTGTAATCATCAGTACAAGGAGAGAAGGGCGAGAGCGGCAGAGAAGCTGGGGGGGGCGCTTTGTGGTGGGGGGGCGCTGTGTGGTGGGGGGGGCACTCTATGTGAGGAGCAGAGGCGGAGGCAGGGTCTTCGAAAATCAGGCTCCAGCCCAGGCCCTGCTTCCGCGTGGAGCCGACCAGCTGCAGGGCCCAGGGTCTCAGACGCCAGAGCAGGAAGCCCGGAGAGAGCTGCCACCTCAGCTGCAGCCTGGCGGGGGCCACGGGCCACATGCTCCTCCCCTGCAGGGGCCTTAGGTGTACAGGGAGGGGAAGGGCAGCTCTGCTGTTGGCTGGAGCCTGCAGGGACAGCGGAGATGACCCTGAGATGCAGCACCGCTGTGCCCGGCCGGGACCGCTTCAGGACGCTGTCCAGACGCCCGCACCTTGCCACCTACCAGTTGTCGGGGCTCCAGACGGTGCCCGAGGCCTCCATGAGGTGGAAAGTGTAGGCATGTCGTGAGCGGCCTGACAGGTTCCGCTCACTCTTGTGGACCACTTCCCCATGGATGAGGACCACGGCCCCTGCGGGACGCAAGAGGCGAGGAGCACCCAGCCCCGCACCACCTCAGGGCGGCGGACGGCCACCTCCCTGCCTGTCTGCGCCACTCCTGGCCTGCTAGCCCGGGCTGCTGCGGGCTCCCGGGGGTCAGGCTCCACCGGCTGCGGCCCGGGCTCCCTTGGGTGCGCCCAGAACCCGCCAAGTCTGCGCCCCGTACTGCGCTGGGCACACCCCGCAGAGTCTGAGGGAACCTGAGTTGTCTGAATGGCAAGGGGTACACTTGCGGCGGCTCCAGGCACCCATCGTCTGCCCTCTGTGTATCTCCCCACTTGACAGTGGGGGAAACTGAGGCTCAATTCTGCTATTTACCCTAAGAGAGCCCCTCCGGAGTCTGGACCCCCGCCCGACTGATCCGGAGACCCTCCGTTGGGCCAGCGCCTCTCCCGCCACCCCCCTCCCCTCATTCTGTGGCCCACAGGATTGAGCTGGGTGGTCACACCACAGGTGCGGCCTCCTGCCCTCTGGGCCGCCCACCTACCTCTCTGCACAGGTGCAGGCACAAAGAGGTGGTCATCCCGGGCTGGCTCCACCCCCAGGAAGCTGGTGCCCGTCACTGAGCCCGCGGGTGCCCGGACCATCCTTCTGGACACTCCACCTGCGGGCCCAGGCCCAGGTGAAGCCTCTACCCCCCTTTCTTCTGAGTCCGTCTGGGGGGTGGGAGACACAGGTGTCCTCACCAGTGTGGGAGCCGGGGATGAACCAGAGGCAGCCGTTCTCCAGCGTGGCGTCCTCCAGCGCGATCCACAGGCCCAGCACCCGGCCCAGGGGCTCCGTGTACAGGAAGGAGGCGTCCTGGTGAGCCGTGACTGGGACGCCGCCTGGGCGTGAGCAGCTGGCCTTCCTCCCTGGGCCCCGTCTCTGGGCCCTCCAGGCCCAGCCTCCCACCATCCGTTAGACTCTCACACCTCCTGGCCCGGATACCCTGGGCAGGAGACGGAACCTTTTGAAACTTCCACTTCCTAAGCCATCAAGCGGCCCCATGGTAGACCCGCTTCATGGGGTGACTGGAGGGAGCCGTGAGATGCTGAGTGGAAAGGGCCCGTTACGGCACCCTGCTAGCCAGGGCCGAGCCCCCGTGGGCGCTGTGCGAGCCCCCAGTGAGACCAGGAGGGGGCCCCGCGGGGGACAGAGCACACCTTCACCTCCTGGCCCCTCCCTGTGACACTGGGGCCCGCCAGGACGACGGAGCCAGTGAACAAAGGACCGCAGTCCTCTCCCCCGCCAACCCCCCGCGGGAAAGCTGTTTGCTAAGCACCCAGCTGAAGGGGGACTTGACTCTGGAGGACGGTGTCCTAATGTCGGGGCCTCAAAGGATTTGGAGGAGTGACGAGTGGAAGTGGGGGTCCTGGACCCGGGTCATCGCTCAGGGCCACCCTTGCCCTGAATAGTGGGGAGAAAGGGGCCTCTGGGGGCGGCCCATTTGGGTTCATGCGAGGAAGGAAAGAACTGCCTGCAAGGTGGTGAGCTCCCCATCACCGGAGGTATTTAAGCAAAGGTGGAGAACTGCCCACGGAGAAGGCTGCAAAGGATAACTGTACATCTGGTGGGGTTTGGAATTAGATCAGCCACTGCTAGGCGAAGATAGTGGTCCAGCAAACTGGTTGAAAATACAGATTCTGGGGCCTCCCAGGTGGTGCAGGGGTTGAGGTCTTGGCTCTATGAAGCTGTCTGCAGCCAACTACAGCCTGAGTTCAACCCCCGGCAGGGAGCTGACCCACATGGCGCAGCAGACCTCACCTGCTCCCCGCTGCTCCCCTCAGCAGTGAACTTCAGTAGATCCACGTGTTCTGCTCCCCACCCTGTCTCTGGTGAATCCTCTCACACCTCGCACGTCTGTCCTATACCCAATTCTTGTATAAATAAAAAAAAATTCCCAGCCCTGGCACCCCTACTGACTCAAGAAATGGGGTCCAGGTGTCTGTTTTTAACCAGCCAGGAGTTTCAGCCAGGTCCAGAACCCACTGTGCCAAGACTCCAGGACACCTCCCAGTCCTCAGCTGCAGACGGGTGGGAGGCGCCCCCACAGCCCAGGCCCTCTGACACCCCAGCACAGGCTCACCCCCTCCCTCTGAAGACCCGGCAACCCCTCTGGCCCCACATCTCCCACCACGGCCGTGGCTGGGCCTGCTCCCGGCTCACCTTCGCCACCAAGGTGCGGTTGCTGCAAGGAAGGAAGCAGCCAGTAAGGCCAGGCACTCGGGGAGCGGAGGCCCACTCTGGCTTGTGGCATGCTCTTCCCTGGCACCTGTGGTCACCTCCAAGGGCTGCACGTTAGCACCCAGCCGTCAGGCAACCGCTGGGATCCAGGGCCAGGAGGGCTGAGACACAAAACTACCCACAGGGCAGCAGGCCCAGCCTGTCCCGCGGCCCTAACGACGCAGCCAGAGCTGGGCCTTGAAATCCAGGGGCGGTATTTCGTCAGGGAAGGAAGGAGTCCAAGGGATCCCCTTCCCCCCTCCCGGAAGTACCAGCTGCCTAAGCCAGGGGAGACTAATTTTACATGTTGTTCCCCAACTTGCAAGTAAACCTGCCCCTGGGAAGCAGAGGCTGGCAGGGCGAGGCGCTCACCTTGAAGATGTACATGCTCTGCACCACCACGGGCATCTGGAGACCCAGGCTTCTGACCAGGGCCTGGGAGGAGCACAGGTTGCGTGACCTTCGCGTGGCCGCCTGTCCCTTCACGTCCGGCCCGGCCCACACCCACACCTGTGCTCACCTGCACCTTCGGGGAGTGTGTGACACGCCTGAAGACAGGGTCGTGGGCGTGCAGAGCTGCAGGACAGAGGTGGGCTGATGGGCAGTCCCCAGCCCCCACGCGCCCCGTGGCACCCAGCACCAGCCTCTCCCACGTGCCCTCCCGTGCAGTCGGTGTCCCCTGTGGTGAGCTGAAAGTTCTCTGCCTTTATAGCCGAGTGATGCTCCCACCTGCACCCACCTTCCCACGACCGTACGACCGTAGCCCTGACCTGTAACCATCTGGGAGCTCCCTGGAGCCCTGACTGGAAGGGGCCCCTCACTTTGCCACTTTGACTGTGACATGGAGGGACCAGCTCTCCAGACACAGCCATAGCCCAGGTGGCCCGGTCGGGGTGGCCGCTCTGACCACTGTTTGCATTATTGCTACTATAGAAAGCAAGGGTTGGGCACGCTGAATCCCACTGGACGGCGCCTGAGAGTGGTCTTGCTGGTAAATTTGAGGTCCCGTGGTGTCCGCGCTGTTTTTATGACGCTGCAGTGTGTAACTTGAAGCTTAAAAATAAGCAGCCTCTTGCCACCAACATGGAGCCCCGGTGGGGTGGGAGGTTGCTGGGAACGGCATTTGGCTGGAAGGCTGAGTCCATGACTGTTACTGTGGGCTCTCTGGAACCAGGGGGGCCCACAGCTCTCAGAACTGAAGGTGTTTGGGCTGGCATGAAACGGAGATGTGATTCTATGCACTAAACAAAGGCAGGCACAGTGCCTCCTGGTGGTGAAGAGGATAAACTGCAGCCTCCTGGGGGCGGACGCATTCCCATGGAAACAGCAGGGGGGGGGGCACCACATCCCTGCTCAGGCTGCAGGACATCATGCCGTGCATCATGCCGTGTCCCTCTAGGACTGACACTTACTGGAAAAGCCAATAAATATATGTGAATTCCTTCTCTTGTTAAAAAGAAAAGCAGCTACCAGATAAATGATATAAGATCCTGGGGGGACCGGGATTTCTAGCTTGCTTTGGGGTCTCATCAACATGTGAACGCTTCTTAAGGAGGTCCAGGAAGCAGCAAGACCCAGGAGGCCTCGTGCCGCAGGCCTGGACCATCCCCAGGCCAAGCATGGAAAGCTGAGGGCCCACGCATGCCACCTCTGTGGGAGGGTGCTCAGGGGGACCCCACTTCCCAGTGCCATGTCATGAGACTGGCATCACGAGATACAGAAGTGCCATTTGCCACTGACTTCCTGTAGGCACTGGAGACACCCGCACTGCTCTTCAGGCCTCAGTTTCCCCACTCCCCTTCCCCTGGACTCCTCCTTACCATGGCCGATTTTATTAATGGCTTTCTCTGGAGGCACCAGGAAATTTCCTGTGGCACAGGAACAGGGTGAAATAGGGATGGTCGGAGCCAGCCTTCCACCTCCCATGGGCACTGTGCCTCAGCACCCTCCCCACGGGGGCAGATGCCCAAGCCCAGCCCCCTCGCCCCCCACCACTTGGGCCCAACTCCAAACCTTTCTGGTCAAAAACGCCTTTCTCAAAAAAGAACCGAATCTTGTCACCACTACTCAAGAAGTAGTCTGCGCTGCCCTGTGGGAAGGGGACATCAGAGGGGCTGAGAGAACATCCCGGGGCCAGAGCCGGGCATGGCAGAGGCCAGAGGACTCAGAGGGTCCCACCCAGGAGGCCACGGAACGGGGGCACCCCCTGCCCCATCCACTGAGGCACACCGTGGACGGGAGCCCATGTGGCAGGGGCACACACAGCAGGAAGCCTGAGGCGTGGAATTTCTTAGAAACAAAATCACGTGATTTGGACACTTGCTAGTATTGGGGTTTAGACACAGCACAAAAATCAAGCAGGCCTGCCTCCGGGGAGGGAGCCTTGGGCCACTGGTTTCACCTCCCGAAGCTTCACTTTCCTCATGGGTTAAAGGAGACTAAAAGGACTGTTGGAGGCTTCAGGAGAGACCAGTCTTAGAGCCGTCGAGGGCGCACACCCCGAGCTTTGAGGGCGTACACCCCGAGATTAACTGCCTGGGGCCTGAGCCAGACTGCCAGTGACGCGCTGTGTGACCTTGGTCACGTCACCCACCTTCTTGAAGAACATAGACGCGGTAGTTGTCTCTTAGAGCGGGGTGATAGGGATGACATGCCACTCCGAAGGCACTAGAACAGTCCCTGGATGTACTCAGTGCCACACGAGCACCTGCTTTTATTAATGTCACGGGGCCCGTCTCAGATGGACAAATGCAGCTATTCCTCTGCTGTTTCCGTATCCCCTCCTGGGTTTTAACGTCACGTCTGATGTGTCTTAGCACCCTGAGGAAGTGAAGCTCCCGGAAGGTGCCCGTGTCTTCCTCGTGGCTCACAACCCTACCCACGTCTCCCTGCCTTGCTGCGTGGTGGCCCCGACCTGGGCTCCCCAAGTGGGAGCCCCCCTCCGCTGTGGCCTGCAACCTGCCAGCCTTTTCAAAGCCCGTCCCACCGAAAACGGAAAGTTGTGGCTTCCCGCCCCCTCCTCCACATCCGTGGCCCTCGGCAGGATCAAGGTGCGAGAACAAGTCAGGGGAGCACTGAGACAGCCCCAGAGGCAACACACTGAACACGATCTTGTAGAGAGCTCATTCACCAGAGCCAGTGAGGGGCCGACCGGCTGAAAGAAGGCCCAGAGCCCCACGCCCCGGGCAGTGAGGAACACTGCAGAAGGCTCACAGATCAGGCACAACAGGTTCTCAGGGCACCGCGGAGTCTGCCAGACAGCGGGCTGTCCGGCTCCGGGCAAGCGCCCCCTGCGTGCCGCACTGTGCAGCGGGTCACAACAGCAGGCCCCGGGTGTTTTATTCTCGGCGCCTCACTGGACGAGGAAGCCAAAAGTGGCCTCCTGGCGGGGGCTGTGGTCTGGAATGTGCACATCCCCCAGCCTGCGTGTGCTGTCTCTGGCACAGCAGGACGGGCCCAGGAGGCTCACCTGGGTCTCCGCGGGCCCAGCCTGAGGGACTAGGGGATGTGCAATGCGCCCCGATGGACACCCCATCTGGGGGGCTTCTGCCTTGCACCCTGAGGTGTCAGGACAGGCTCTGGCCACCCACCCAAGTTGGTATGAAAGGACCAGAAAATGAACGAGTGCACGAATGAGTGGGTACAAATGACTGTTCCATGTTAGAGGCACCGGGGCCTTTTTTCGAGTTTGCTGGTAGTGGCAGAGCTATGCCCTAGGCAGTGCATCCTCCCTGATGCCCACCAGCCACTGGTGAGATTTGTTTCGTTATTTATCGCTTCACTTAAAGTCATAGTTTCTGAGAGTCTACGGATGATGCTAGCGAGGACTCACTGTAACTCACGAGAACGGTGGGGTTAGCTCAAGGGCGCACTGGGCAGGTCACTGATCTCTTCCTCTAATGCCTACTTCAGTCTTTCATAACACCAGTGCGGGAGGGGGTTAAGGGGCGCCTGGCACTCTAACCCCGACAGGCAGGCTCCTTCTACCTCCTCCCCAGCCTGCTGGTCTCGGAGTTCTCAGAAGGCTGCTTCGGGGTCAGAGGATGGCCCCTTCGCTCCTCGGAGCTTCTGAGTGACCCGTCCTGGGCACAGGAGCCTGACTCTACTTTCCCTCAAAGGGCTGAAGGACACTCAGCTAGGGCACGTTCCCCTCCGAGTCTGCCGGCCAGGCTTCGGGCCCTGTCATCCCCTCTCCGGCCGGCAGAGGGCAGGAGCTCCCCGGCCGGTGTGCGCCCGCTACTGCGGTGGGCGGGGTCTGGGAGGCAGGTGGGGTGAATGAACTGCCCAAGCCATCTACTTTTGACGGCCCAAGTCTCGGTGTAAGGGTGGGGTCCACTAGGTCACCTGCGGGGTGGGGGTGGGGGACAGCAGTTTCTAGTCTCCTTGGGGGCTAAGATTTATACCCTGGAGCCCCTTAGAATCTCTGGGCTCCTTCGGGGTTGCTGGCCACACTGGAGAACGCCTTAGGAAGCTCAGGCCAGGGGAACCTGTGTCAGATCTAAGTCCAACACAAGTGGCAACCTGGGGCAAGGGAGTCCAGCCCCGTCCCCCACCTGCCCAGGAGGGGCACGGATTCGCAGTGAAGGTGGAAATGCATGTACAGGGCAATAGGCCTAGAGCAGGCTGGCCCAGGCAGGCTCTGGGGCCCGACGCCTTATCAGAGAGAACAAACCCAGGGCCTTAGGCCCCTCCCAGGCTGCCACTCTGGCTGGAGCTGAGCCCCCCATCAAAGAACAGATGCCCCTCTCCCCTGCACCAGCCACCCACCTGGGCTTGCAGCTGCTCATCTTCCTGGGTGGAAAATACCGTGCGGCAGTGGAGAGGGACGTCCATCTCAGCCATGATCTCGCCGACCCGCTGGCGCAAAGCCGCACACTCGGCTGCAGACAAGAACCCCTCCAGCACCAGGTACCCGTCCTCCCGGAACTGCAGGCAGGAACGAGACTCAGGCTTCCTTTAGGAGATCACCCCGGATCCGCAGCTGCGGGGCCGTGACAACTGTCCTGTCGGGGCTCTGCTCCCTCCCCACCCTGAGCACCCAGCCAGGCGCCTTCAGAGTTGGCTTGAAGGAAGGTTGGGGGGGAGTGGGGCTGAGGGGTCCCCTCCCTTTCCCCCCAGCGGGCTTGATGGAAAGGCAACCTCATTCTCTTATTCAACGAACACTGACTGACCGTCCACTGTGTTCGGACATGGTTTCGGGAGCAGGAGATACCTTGACAGCCAAGCCCATCACCACGCCCCCTCTCGGGGACTCAGTCCAGCGACAGTGTAGTGACAGGTGACACAGGTGGACATGCCAGCACAGCGCTGCGTGCAAGGAGGGCAAGAGCGGGCGAGAGACCCAAAGGCAGAAGCAGCCAGTGGCCACCGGGCCGGGAGGGTGAGGGTCTGAGGAGGCCTGGCCTAGGAGGAAGCATCCGTCAGTCCGTAGGGTCACAGGAACCAACAGGGCAGGGGCATTCTCGCCTCTGGGGGCGCAAGGGGGTACCTCTCAGCACTGCAGAGCTGTCGCAGCCACCGCAGCCTGGGCTCCATCCCCGGCCAGGGAGTGACCCACCGGGCGGGGCGCAGCAGACCTCTTCAGTCTCCCCGCTGCTCCCCTCAGCAGTGGATATAGTGGATCTGTCTGTCCTGCTCTCTGGTGGATCCTCTCACCCCACCCCGCTATACCCCAACTCTTATATGTATAATTTTTTTTTAATTTTTTAAAAAATTATTTTATTTTATTTATTTATTTTTTATTTTTTTAAAAGATGTATTTATTTGTACATACAGAACTGGGGTACAGGCCAGAGGCTCAGGGGCGGTGAGAGGATTCACCAGAGACAGAGCGGGGAGCAGAACAGGCAAATCGACAAAGTACATTGCTGAGGGGAGCAGCGGGCGGTCAGGAGAGGTCTGCCGCGCCATGTGGTCACCTGCGGGGCAGGCAGGAATCCAACTCATGCGGAAGCGGCTTTAGCTTCTCAGCGCTGCGCTTTAACCCGTTGCGCCACCAGGGAGGGCCAATAATTTTTTTTTTTTTAAAGAAAGTGAAAGGGAGCAGGAAGCCTGAGGCCCTGAGCTCTGGAGGGACACGGGCCCGGGGACTGGCCAGGCGGGAGCTGGGCTTTCCCAGAGTGCCCAGGCAGCCAGAGGGGGTTAGCACACGGCTTCTTCTGACTCACTGCAGCCCTGAGGTAACTACACTGAGGTAACTAAGATGCAGAAGAGAAAGAAGATCTGCATTTCTGCTTACAGAGCAGTATACAGTCAATCTCAGCAGGGACACTGCATGACCCTTCTCGTCATCACTGTGAAGTGTCTGATTTCAGGGGACCATTTCTACCCCCACCCCGTGGATGCCCAGTTCTGGCTTCAGCACAGGACGCTGGGCGCTCGCCACCCCAGCCCGGGCTGCTCTGCCTCTGAGCTGCCATGCAGGCTAGAAACGTAATGCCCGTGTCTGCGTCGGCCTCCAGCCTCCTGGGCAGGTGGGTCACCCGCAGCAAAAATGCCCTTGGCCTGCACACTGCAAGGCCTTCTCTTGAGACTGGCAAACAGGGGCAAAGCTGTACACCGGGGTGTTCACTGAGCCTTGTCGGCAGGCTGGGGCCCAACAGATTTGGTCAGTAAGTATGCTTTATGTTCCTGGACCAGCATAGCCAGAAGTCCTGTGCAGACGAGACCACTGACCCGGGAATCTGCTCCGAGACACCAGCGCTGTGAGATCTGGGGCCGGCGTTCTCTCCTCCGACCTCAGACTACCAAGTGGGGGAGAGCAGGGTGCCCCCTTCACAGCACATGGCAAGCACTTGATAAGCAGTGGGAATCACAATGGCTCTTTTAGAAGATTCCAGGGCTTTTTACCAAAGTGTTAGCTCTCAGTGTTGCATTTATGGGTGGTTTTAATGCTCTGCTTCGAGCTTTTTTTTTTTAATTGATTTATTTATGCACGCAAAAACTGGGGTGCAGGCCAGAGGTGCGGGGCAGTAAAAGGGTTCACAGAGACAGACTGGGGAGCAGGACAGGCAGATCCACGGAAACACACTGCTGAGGGGAGCAGCGGGGAGACAGGAGAGGTCTGCTGCGCCCTGTGGGTCACTCCCTGGCTGGGCAATGAACTCCTGCTGCAGTGGCCTCGGACAGCTTCCCAGTGCTGGGCTTTAACCTGCTGCACCACCAGGGAGGGCCCTGCTCTGAGCTTGTCCATAACCTTCTGCATTTTCTCTTGCCATCAGGAACAAACAAGGTCATGTTTTTAAAACGTCTGTGTGGCAGTGATTCCCGGGAGTTAGCCCTTCCTGTTGGGACACAGGCAGGAGCCTGGCTGGCTGGAGGGGCGGTCCCTTCCCCCACCCGCCCCTCGCTGCCTCCCCCTCCCCAGCCGGGACTGGAGACCAGTTTTGGTCACACACACAAGCCCGCCCCACCCTAGGTCCTGTGGCCAGGACGCCCCTGGCTGAGCTTGCGGAAGTTGGAGGCCACAGCTGGAAATCCATCCCTCTGGGCTAAAGTTTCCTCTTCTGTAAAGTGGGAGGGGATGGGGTAGAGTCGGAGCAGGGAACTCCCAGGGGTCTGGGGGGGGGGCTCCCATTCCATCTGGCCTCCCACCTGCAGGCCCCTACCTTCTGGAGCTGCGTGGGGCTCAGGCTGGCCATGAGGGCGGCAGGGCTCACGAAGGCTGTGCACCAAGGTTGGAGATGGGGGAAGTTCAGGAGGAGTGGCCAGAGCCACTGGGTGGCCACAGAGGACTTAACCCTTTCCTAGCCAGAGAAAACCCCATCCAGCCTTGGCCCCTCCAGCCCCCAGTGTGCACATGCCTGCCTGTGCCCCCACAAGCTGGGCCCCCTGTGAGTTGGACCCCAGGAGCTTCCCTGCTGGCCCTCACTTTTGGCTCCCGCCCAGCCTCAAAGTGGGTCAGTTCCCTGCTAATCCAGGATCAGCGCTTCCTGGTGGCCATCTTTTAACTGCTCCCCCACCCATTCTTCCCAGAACCACCCCCAGCCGGGGCGGCTCACTTGGGGGCAAGGCGTGTCCTGCCCAGTGTCACCACTGACCTGTCCCGTCTGCCCCTCACAGACCTTGATGGAGGATTAAAAAGTCACTGCCTGGACACAGGCACCAAATCCTGGAGGGGAGCTGCAGGGCAGATCTGGGGGACCAGCACATCTGCCTGCAGTGGGTTTGCGTCCCCAAGGTAGAGAACTGCCAGGGCCCCTCCCAGCTGGTCCTGATGGCCAGGTCCTGGGGGGAGAACTGGAGTGTCTGTCAGTCTGCAGCTGGGGAAAGGTAGGAGAGGACACCTCCGGGAGGCAGGCCCAGAGGCCACGCTGCCCAGCCCACCCTCGGGCCCAGGGTGCTTGGTAGCTCCGGCTGGCTGGCGCAATGAAGGCCGCAGTCACCCACCCTCGCAGCCGGCTGGACCTGCTAGTACTGACCGTTCTGGCTGCAGCTTCTGAAAACCAGCCACTGGCCTTCCCTGAAATGACACTTGTGATCAGCGCAGGGACACAGTGTCTCGGGAGAAAGCCGCCAGCTCAGACCTCGGGAGCCTTGGCCCCCGGTCAAGTCGTGTTTTCTGGGCCACCGAGCAGTAGAACTGAGAGCTGCGGGGCTGGAGGAAGGAGAGCCCCACCTGGAGCCAGAGCCGGAGCGGGCCGAAGTTCCTGGTCGAGGCCGGCAGGCTGGAGACAGGCCCCTTTGGGGAAAATCGCCACGGCCAGCCGACACGGGACCCCCAACAGCCCCCAGCTGCAGGACGGACGCCCACTCACTTTGGACCAGCCACTCCCCGGGGAGCCCCAACACAGGCTATTGAGGGGGCTTGGCTAGGCCAACAGGGTCCTGCCCACACCCAGGCCTTACTTTCCCCACCTGGAAACTGGGGGTGCGAGAAGTACCTCCAGGTGGGGGGCTGCTGTGCTGCTGAGAGAGCTTGGCCCCCCGGGTGCCGCCCGGGAGCCATCGAATGTTAGCAGCGGCTTGTGGTGGATGCGAGGGGTGCATCTCACTGTCTGCACCTCCCGACTCAGAGTGGACGGGCCTGGGGGTGGCGAGGGGAGCGTGGAGAACGGCTGGGCCTCCCACTCTACTCAGGCCTGGGAAGTGGGAGGCGTTTCCAGTTCGCTCCCAAAGGCCGTGGGCTTGAGAGAACACGCCTGCTCCCTCCGGGTCCTGCTGGAGCAGGGTGGGAGAGTGGGGATGGGTGGGGAGGAGGCCACCTCCAGACTAGAGGGGGTCACAGCCACCCGCTCGGCCTCCCAGTCGGGCACAAAAAGGAGTCTCGGCTGGGTGTCAGGAGGGGTCGGAGACCCACCACGGGCAGACAGAGGCGGTGCTGGCTCTGGAGGGGCCCAGCAGCAGCTCCGGCCTCCCCCAGCCCCAGGGCTAGCGTCAGACAGGCCTTTCGGCTTCCTCCACAGGCCCTGCCCCAGGCCCCCACGTCAGCCCAGGGCCCTCTGCCAGGGCCAGGAGGACAGGTGGCTTACTGGGAGCCAGGAGCCAGGCCCTCTCCACCTGCCTGCACATGCACCCCACATAGGCCTCAGGGCTCTCCGCCGCCACCCCAATTCCACAGACAAGGGGGCTGGGGCCCCACAGCAAATGAGTGGCAGAGTTGGGAGGAAGGCAGCTCTTCTGCCTTGATCCTGCACCTTCAGCAGACGGAAGGGGCAGGGACACAGGGCCGCCCTTCCGGGTGCCGACCGGGCAGCCAGGAGAACAGAGTGGCCTGGATGTGGAGGCCGCAGGAAGGCAGGGAGCTGCCCGGCTCCACACAGGGGCGCCAGGCTGGGCCGAGACCTGAGACCACCAGCTCCTAATCCAGGGCCCTGCCGGGCCCATCAAGGCCCACGGGGGCCCAAACCACGGGTGCACGGGGCCACAGAGGACGCAGTGGCCGTGGGCAACCTGCCGGGGCCGTGCTGACATGCACCAGGCGCCCTGTCCAGCTCGCAGCTGCCGGCAGTGCCGCAGCGGGCAGGGAGGAGCGGAGGTAACTGTTCCGTGGGTGGTGACCAGCGGTCACTGCACGAGCCAGGCCGCAGGCCCAGGGGGCCAGGAGAGCTGAGGGCAGGGCCCCGCGATGCGAAGACCTCGAGGCCACCTTCTGTTACACGTTTATTTGATATCTGAAGCGAGTCTACACGTCCAGACCCACACGTGACGGAGGGCGGCATGGCTGCCGGACACGAGTGCACACCACTTCCGGGTTACATCTGGACACGACGCAGGACATAGACAGACGGACAGATGGACATTGTAGTGAAGACAAGAGACGCTAAAACGTGCCTTACTGTCCAAGTGAATGATCTAAGGCCCGGGCCCTCCTCAGGCGGGGACCCCGGGATCCATCTAAGTGAGGTGGCTTCCTGCCGCAGGTGCTGGGGGGCTGGTGTGCCAGGCACCGGGTCAGAAGCTGGCTTGGGGCCCAGGCCTGGGGGCCCGCCGCCCGCGGCCCCGCTGGGAAGGAGCCACGGCAGAGCCCGAGCGGGCAGGGTGCGCTGCTGGCTCCTAACACTGACGGGCGGAGGACGGAGCACCGACGCGGGGGTCAGCCAACGAGTCTCCTCCTCTTGGCGGCTCCGGAACATTCCCTCTGGCGCGCCGCCACGGCCGGGGTGCCCGCCCAGACACTCGGAGGAGAAAGAAAACAGGACGGCAAAAAAACAAACCAAAATCCCCGCCCGGGAGAGGACGCGACAGAACTGGGGAGCAAGGTCCCCGAGGCGGAGACGCCGGGGGGCGGGCGGGCGGCGGCCCAGTCGCGGGAAAGCGCGCCCCGGCCTGGGACCCGGACTCACTGGCCTCTAGTGTCCTTTTTTTTAAATGTTTTTCTTTTTAATACCCAAACCTTCGATTTTCAAAGCTTAAAAAAAAAATGTTTTCTCCTTAAAAAAAATTTAAAACGGATTCAGTGACCCCAGGCCTGGCCTTTCCACCTGGTGGCCGGGCCGCCGGAGCCCAGCCCCGCACCTCTGGGGCCACCGTCCCCAGCTGGGCCACCCTGGGCGCTCGGCCGGTCTGGTGGGCACACAAGGCAGCGACCCCACTGGAAAGGGCCGTGGACACGGCTCACCCTTCCTCGCCTGCCCCCACCTCGCTGGCGTGCTCTTGGGAATGTGGAAGTCACCCGGAGGGAGGGTGGGAGGTGCAGGAAAATAAATACTGAGAGCTACTGGAGCCCTGGCCCTCTGCGGCGGGCCTGGCCTCTGGGCAGAGGCGGCCTCCCGGGAGGGGCCCTGACTGTCCAAACACTGCTGCGGACGGCGCTGACTGCTTGCGGGCAGCTGCCCGTCTCCCCTCGCGCCGGCCCTGGCGGTCTCAGAGGGGTGGGGCCGGCCCTCCGCGCCGTCCTGGCCGGCCCAGCTCAGCGCCCAGCCGCAGGCTCCTGCGCGCCCGCTCCGGGTTCGCGGCCCGAGGCCGCCGGGTGGTCCCACTGCCACGCGCCCGCCTCAGGCCTGCTCCTTGTCGGCCCTCCAGAGCCGCTCCTTGACCTCGGGCGGCAGCGTGTTGAACAGGTCCTCCTCCACCACGAGGCCGCTGCGCTTGAGCAGCGGGCACTCGCCCAGCTCCACGGGCAGGCACTCGAGCCGGTTGCCCCGCAGCTCGATCTGGGTCAAGTTGGTCAGCTCGCCCACCCGCGAGGGCAGGGACTGGAGCACATTGTTGCCCAGGTGCAGGGTCCGCAGCTTCCGGCACTGGAAGAGCTCCGGGGGCAGCGCCTCGATCTGCGGGAAGGGGCAGAGGGCAGAGGTGAGGCCCGGCGGGGCGGCTCAGGCGGGCGGACCTCTGGGCGCTTCTCTGAGGCGCCAGCAGGGCCCAGGTCCGCCTGCGCGCACCGGCTCAGCCCTGCGACGGCTCCCTCGGGTCAGCCTGCCCGGAGCGAGGGGGCAACCCTCCGTCTCTGTGGTGCTACCGCCAGGTTGGCTGTGTGTCGCCCCTCAGCCGTGGCTCTGGGAGGGCAGAATGCGTGGGCCTGGTCCCACCTGTCCCGCACCAGGTGGGTCTCACCACCAGCCATTGCCCGGAACCCGTCGATCCTGCCTGAGGCTGAATAATTTCTGAAGGCGGAGCAGCCTGCCGAGGACTCCCACCCCAGCCGCTTCTGAGAAGCGGGAGAGCAGGACGGGGGTGAGTTCCCCAGCAGCGTCACCGCCTCCCGGGCCGCCGCAGTCTGTCACTAACGAGGCCACGCTGCCAGACACCAGGGAGCTCCTGAAGCCCCTCGCCTGGGCTCCACACCACACGTGGTGCCCGGTGGTCAGGAACGGGGCTGCAAGGCCCCGGCCAGCAGGGCCAGAGGTCAGGCGTGAAGGGGGTGTGCCGGAAAGGGGTGCCTGTGACCAAGGGCAGAGCCTTTTGGGAGCCTCCTGTGACAGACGGTGGTCAGGGCCAGCAGAGCCCGTGAGAGGGGCATCGGGCCCCAGAGCCCCTTCCCCAGAGGGCCCCTGCCCCACCAGCTCGCTCCAGGACCCCAGAGAAGGACGGGCGTGTCGTGCTCAGCTCCCACTGGCCACACCTGTCCTGCCCTCCCAGGAGTCGCTCATCCACTGATGGCTGGAGGTCACCTCCTGTCATCCCAGACCCGCCTCTCCTGCGCCTCTGGGACCTCGGACGCTCCCCCAGCAGACTGAAGCGACTCCACTCCACCTGGCCTTTGGAAAACGAGACCACTGTCCCAGGAAGCTTCTGCGGTGATGCCATCTTCTGTGGGCCTCCCCCTTCCCGACTAACCACCTGGAAAGGCGTGGTCTCGCCCTCGGCCCCTCAGCAGGCCGGCTGCTCCCGTCACGCTCAGGAACTACCAGATCAGTCACCAACGGTCATCCACACGCACCAGCCCCGACGCTGGGCTCCGGCCGCCCTTCCCACCCTTCCTGTGACCTGGCCCAGGGCGCTCTTCCCCCGACCCTCGGGGCATGACTCCTCAGCGCCAGGCTGACTCAGCCTGGCACCCTTGACGTTCAGGAGCCCCAGACACCTGCCAGGGGACACGCCCTCTCCTCTGGGAGATCCCGGCCTCCCCGGGAACCTACGATCCTGCATCGGTGAGGCCTCGTCCAGCCACAGGAGAAACCTTGAGTCACTCCGACCGCGCCCTGCTCCCACGGTCCAACCCAGCCCCACGGCCTTCGGATTCTCCCCAATCCAGCCGCGTCTCCCGCCCTGGCGCCTGGCCGGTCCCGGCCCTGCCTGCTCCCCGGAGGACGCCAACCCGGGCCGCTCATCCGTCCCTCACACTGCAGCGAGGGCACGGGCTCTGGGGGCAGCCAGCGCTCCCTTCACCCACTCAGTCAGCGAGAACCCAGGGAACGGCTGCTGCAGGCCAGGCACAGGATGAGACGAGGCCAGTTCTTGCTGTCAGGGGAAGGGCCTCAAAACACAGGCAAATAGGACTCAGCCTGCTCTAGCAGCCGCGACACTGTGGCCACTGACCTCAGGCGAAAGTCCAAATTCCAGGAGCTCACTGCCCCGCCCCCGGCTCTCCATTCCCGGTGACGAGACCAGGAGCCGCCCTCTCCCGCTGTCCACCACCTCCTGCCAGCAGACCCACAGGGCGGGCGAAGAGCCCCTCCTCGGGCATCCCGCAGCCCTGGGTTGCGGCCACCCCTGTGCTCCCAGCAGCGCCCTCGTCTCTGCTAACGCCTGGAACTTGTCTCTCCCCTAGAGACAGTCAGGACGGGCAGCAGGTGGGCGCTCGGGAGCCCTCGGAAACGCCCGGCACACCAGCGAGGGCACGGGCAGCGAGTGGCGGGACGAAGCCCGTCGTGGCGCGGTGTCCGTCAGCTTGAGTTTCAACCCGGAGAAGAGCAGCCCGGGGCCTGCACTGCCACAGCGCCAGGCTCGCAGGGCGTCGCAGCGCTAAAGGCTGGGGGGCGGGAGGCTGGCCGAGGCCTGGCCGGCCGGCCGGCAGCGAGAGCCTTTCTCCCTATAAGGGCATTTGGCGCCCCGGGGTGGGGCAAGACGTGATGAAGGAGAGCGACACAGGGCGTCCAGAGGGTCTCCTTCCTCGGGACGGCTTCCTGAGGGGTGACCTCAGTCCACAGGCATGTCACCAACACGCCTGCTGGGGGGCCTTAGGCTGGAGGCGGCGTGCTGCTGCGCCCCCAGGCGGGCCGCCCAGACCCTGCACAGGACAGGCCTCACGGGGCCCGGGAAGACCAAGCCTGAGCCACTCAGGGCGGCCTGGCCGTGCTCAGGAGCCGCCGATGGTGCCCACACACGTTAGAACCCCAAATGTGGCTTCTCCCCGGGAGTCCCGCTTGCCCGTCAGCAGGCCTGGCCAGTGGGGGCCCCAGGGCGCTGCTCAGAGAAGTCCCACCCTGTGAGCTGCCCAGAACTCGCTCCCACCACCTCGACGTGGGGAGCGCGACAGGGTCTGTCAGAATCTCCGCTCCACGGAGGAGACAGGGTGGGTCGCGGAAGAGACCTGGGCTAGACGGGAGGGAGGCGCGTGTGCCTGAGCCCTCCATCTGTGCGCTGCAGGCGAAGGGGCGAAGCTGGTCTCTTCCCGGGGCAGGGGGGCTTCAGGCTGCCCCTGCAGGTCCCGGGAGCTGAGCACGGGCTGACTTGGAGCAAGCGCTCGGGGGACGCCCGGCCGCACGGGCACCGCCTGGCCACAGGCACAGAGGTGGCGGCTGAACCCGGTCTCCGGCCCCACCCACCTCACCGCTGAGCCTCCGCCCTAACAGACTGGGGCCTGAGACAGTTCTTTCTGCATCAGCCTCTCTGCGGGTCCCCAGGACTGGCCAGGGGGTTCCCCAGCAGCTGTGGCTTGGTTTCCACCACAGAGGCCAAACCACAAAGCCACAGACGAGCCCTGCCGTGGACACCACCCGCCTGCCTCCCAGGGCCCCAGGGTGGGGGGCTGCCCAGGCCAGGCGAGGGCCGGGCCGCCAACGTCTCCGGGGCGTGGCCCTCCCCAGTGCCCGTCCCCCAGGCTTGCACAATTTCCTCCCCGAGAAGCAGGTGGGGACGAGCCCACCACCCCCGACACGCAGAGGGGAGGGGCGTGTGCGGCGCTAGGAGTGGTGGCCACGGCTTGGCCTCGCCTTGGTGAGCACCAGCCACCCCAGTTCCTGCCCCCCGTGCGCCCAGCTGGTCCCCTTGGCTCCAGTCCCGGTGCAGGACAAGCAAAGGGGGAAAGGCCAGCTGCAGGCTAAATCCCACCGCCCGCAACCCCGAGAGAACCACAGGCCGGGACTCTGGCCCCTGCACCCTGCTGCCCACCAGGAACCTGCGCCGAGGCCTGACCCCAGCCCTCCCGGCAGAACCCCCAGCCCCAGGGACCGGCACTTCCCGCACGGCCCCGCCCGGGGGTCTGGGCGCCGCGAGCGCGGGTCACCAAACTGTCCCCGCGAACACGGCACGTCCCCGCGGGGCCACGGTCAGCACCGCCGCCCGCCCGCCACTCACCCGGTTGGCCGTCAGGGCCAGACTCTGGAGGCTCTGCAGGAGGCCGACGTCGGCGGGGAGGACGGTCAGGTTGTTGTGGCTGAGGTCCAGGTAGCGCAGCTTGCGGCAGTAGAAGAGCTGGGCGGGGATCTTCTCGATCTTGTTGCGGTTCAGGTAGAGGCGCTCGAGGTTGGTGAGGTTGCCGATCTGGATGGGGATGTAGGCGATGTGGTTGTACCACAGCTTAAGGCAGGTGAGGCGGTGCAGGTGCTGGAAGCTGATGATCTCCTCGATGGTCTTGAGGTTGTTGTCCTTGAGGTCGATCTCCTGCAGGTTGTGCAGGCTGAAGATGGAGTGGGGGACGCGCTCCAGGTCGCAGCGGATGAGCTCCAGCTCCGTCAGGTTGACCATCTTCTTGAGGCTGTTGAGGACGATGAGCTTGGTGCCCTCGTTGTTGATGGACAGCTTCTGCAGGTGCACGCCCACGTCCGTGACCACCTGCGGCAGCTTGCTCAGGTTGCTCTTGAGCCGCAGGACCTTTAGGCGCTTGAGCTCGCGCAGCCCGTCGATGACGATGTAGCGGTTGTTCTCGGCGCTCAGGTTGCCGGTCAGGTGCAGCTCCTCCAGCGTCTTCAGGCTGTAGATCCACAGCGGGATCTCCTTGATGTCCGTGAACTTGATGTGCAGGGCCCGCAGGTTCTCGCGCAGGAAGGCCAGGGCGGGCGCCTCGATCTTGGCCGCCGTGTGGTACAACCACAGCTCCTTGAGGCCCGTGAGCTGGGCGATGCTGGGCGGGATGGTCACGTCGGGGATCAGCTCCAGCTTCAGGACCTCCAGCTCCACCAGGTCGAACACGGTGTCGGGGATGCCGCTCAGCATGAACAGGTGCAGCTCCAGCTTGTCCTGCGCGTTCTTGGTGAGCCGCTGCCGCAGCTTGTCCAGCGTCCACTCGTTGTTGAGGTTCAGCTGCCGCAGCTTGTTCTCGCTCACCTCCGACAGGAAGACGGCGAAGCGCTTGGAGTAGAGCGGGTCGTACTGGTCGATGAGGTGCAGCATGAAGGCGAAGTCGTTCTTGACGTCGGGGATGTCGCTGTAGCTGCTCTCCTCGCGGATGGACTCGAACGAGTACTTCTTGAGGGAGCGGCGCAGCATCCACCACAGCGTGTACACGCAGATGAGGCCGTAGAAGATGACCAGGCTGATGTAGAAGGACGCCAGGATCTTGAAGAGCGTGGCCAGGGGGTGGGCGCAGCGGTAGGTGCGGTAGCCCGTCAGGCTCTCGATGTCCACGGTGCAGTCCACGTCGAACTTGATGTTGTGCACGTAGTAGACGGTGTAGCAGATGATGAGCACGAACTTGATCACCTTGATGATGGTCTGGCGCATGTACAGGCGGTACACGATGTCGCCCTCCTCCACGTGCGTCCGGAACTTCTTCACCTTCTCAAACAGCGCCTTGGCCTGCTCCCCCTCCTTCTTGTCCAGCACGCCGGTCTCCGAGCGGTCCACGATGCCCTGCTCGATGCGGGACTTGGTCCGCTGCAGCATGGGCACGGTGGCCTCCACGTCCTCGCTCACCGTCGACGACTTCTTGTCCATGGAGCCGTTCATCTTGCTGAAGGCCGGCTTGGGGTCGCTCTCCTCCACCACGGTCTCGGACAGGGCCCGCGTGGTCCAGGGCGAGTCGAAGCACTTGAGCAGGATGGACACGAAGTGCTCCAGCTTCGAGCTGGTGCGTGGGAACTTGAACCAGAAGTTGCTGCAGGCCAGGAAGATGAGCGTGTGCAGGAGCACCAGGTAGGGGAAGTACTTGGCGAACCAGTGCAGGCGGTTCTCGTAGCACACGGCATCCACGTAGTTGTACTGGTGCCGGTCCAGGTCGTACTTGATGCCCGTGGGGCCCGTGTCGGGGGTGGGCGGGACGGAGGAGTTGGAGTAGGTGGGCTCGGGGCTGGGGGGGGCCCAGCCCCGGAAGGAGTCGTTGCAGGAGTCCTTGGTGACCCACTTGCACGGCAGGCAGATCATCTTGTCCTGAGTCACCTGCAGCGTGCCCCCAAAGACCGCAATCATCAGCATGACGATGGAGATGTAGTCGGTGAACACGTCCCACCACGGCTTCAGGATCCGGTACGCCGGCTGAGTGTCCGCAAAGTAGCGGAGCTCTGTCACGGGAATCATGGTTCAACCTGAAAGGCACCCACCCGGGACGGGGTTACTGCCGGTGGCCTGGCGCGCCGAGACCCGGGGTCAGGGAAGGTGACGGAAGGCCCCCGGTGCAAACTCCCACCTCCGGGCTCGCCCGGGGCCCAGCCTCGCCACTCCCGGGGCAGCCCACGGGGCTTTCTCCAGGAACCACGTGGTCCCCGGGCAGCTGGGAGCCACCTGCCTCCCACCGCACAGACAGGAAGGCGGAGTCCCAGGTCGGGGCCTGGCTGACGGAGCTGGTACAGCATCACCAGCGTCCGCCTCCACCAGTGTCTAGCAAGAACACTGGGGATCCCCATGTAGACCCTGATCCCCTTGGCCCAGACAGACCGGAGGGCCCGGTCTCAGCTCCCAGCTCACAGGCACCGGCTGCTGTGACCTAGTGATGTGATGGGATTTCTGACAGCTTGAGGACAGCGAAACACAGAAGAAGAGGCTGACGTTCCGTCACTTTTTGTAAAACAAAGAAGAAAGTTTAACAAATCCTGTCTGTGTGTGTATGCATGTGTTTGTGGTGTGTGCGTGTGGTGTCCACCCAGGGTCCCCCGAGCACTGAGGAGCCGGGAGGGCGCGGGCGCTGCCAGGTGGGGCCCCGGCAGGGGGTAGGGAACAAGGCTGCCGTCCACCCCGGCGGGCAGTGCGCTCACACTCACGCATCTATGTAAAGTGACCTCTGGCGGGTACGTCCACGTGTATGTGAAGAAACTGAAAAGAGCAGCAGCTTCTCCCCGGAGAGTCAGACTTGGCAGGTCCGGGCCACTGGTTTTCGACACGTGACTCCGGGGGCACTGGGGACGGCCGGGTGGGGACAGCTGGCTAAGCGGCCACACGCAGCGGCCGCGTGCGGGGCCTGCCCTCGGGCGTCGGGAAGCGCTGCTGCTACACCAAGGCCTGCAAGACAAGATGGACACGTACCGCTGCTCACTGGAGACCACCTGGAGCCCCGGGAGTGGGAGGGCGAAGGCAGCGACCCTCAGCGCTGCCAGGGCCACCGCCCACCGCCCAAGGAGCCAGGACCGCCCTGCCTTTCTGTGTATTCACTTGCAGGTAAAACTGATTGGGCTTTGCACCCCACGAGGCTAGAAGCAGCTTTTAAACCAAATTTAAGCGCCTAAGGTCTTGACAGATGAGCCTGTTTCTCCTGGGAGAAGAACGTGGGTGCCCACGGGCGGCACTGGGCACCGTCTTCTGATGACTGGTGATACTGGCAATAACGATGGTGACAAGCCCTTCCCGAACCGGGGCCTCCCTGCAGACGCTAAGTGCTTCCTGTCCCGTCTTTCCGGGTCACAGGCGAATGAGAGGGGAGGGCAGGAGGGAAGCAAACCAGGTGCTTAGAGGGACCTGGGCACTTGGCAGAGGCCACGGTGACCGCCGCACTGCCGAGGTCCTGAGAGGGAGCCAGGCCAGCCCTTCCGTGGACTCGCCTCATGGAATCCTTCCGTGCCCAGATGGGGCCCGCCTGGGGTCTCCCCACTCCACAGATGGGGGGGCGGGCTGAAGCCCAGGGAGAAGTCGCATACCCACCGCCTGTCACTGTGCTACCGAATGGCGAGCTGAGATCAAAGCCAGGCCTGCCCCTGCCCACTCACCACTGCCAGGCTCCGCGTCCACCTGCCCAAGGTCCCACATATGGGTGGTGCCAAGAGAAACCAAGCCTAGGAGTCCAGCTCCCCACAGGCTCAAGAACTCGGGTCAGCACAGGGCCAGCAGACACCACCCGCCTTGGGCCTGCGGCTCCAGCTGGGGGTCAGCCCGGGGAGGCCAGGACTCACAGGCCCGGGTGAGTGCCGCCCCACAGGAAGGCCGGGTCCGCTAATGACCGGCTGCTCCTCACACCACCCACACGCCGGGAGGGAAAGTGGCACTCCAGGGAAGGCCTGCTGAATCACGCAGCCGGCCCAGGCACCTGGACACCAGTCCCTCCCTCCTCGGCTCCCCGGTCCACAGCCAGGCCCAGGCAGGCGCCCGGAGACTGGGGACTGGGAGGTAGGAGGGGCCGAGGCCTGAGGGCAGGAGGCCGCCTGCCCCGAGAGTGCAGAATGAGACTGCCCAGGGCAGGACGCCAGCCACGGGGGTGGGGCGGTTCATGACCAGGCAGGATGTGGTTGCAGCTTCACTGTTTGGAGGGGAGTGGGTGTGTCAGGAGTGGGGAACACCCTCTCTCACTGTGAGGCGACTCACCGCCGGGCTGGCCTTGGGCCCCTGCTTCCTGAGTCCTGGATCTGAGGTGGGGACTGTTGACTGCTCGCTCCACAGGCAGGGGTGCTGGAGGCTCAGATGGAAATCGGTGCCCCCCTCACCCCCAAACCTGGCCTATAGGTACAATACGTTACCGTGTGCCCGCCCCCACCAAGGGCTCTTCCAGGGCGGGGGGGGGGGCAGTGCGGATAAGGCCCCAAGTCAGGGCTTCTCGGCAGAAAGGCGGTTTGGCCGGAGCGCTCCACCCTCAGGCCTCGCACAGCGCAGCGGGCTCCATTTGGTCTCCCAGCGAGGAGGAGGCGGGGAGGGCGGGAAGGGTGCAGGAGGGCGCGGCTGAGTTTCAGGTGGATGTGGGCAGGGCGGGGAGGCGGCAGGAAGCCGTTCTGGGCCCCCTCCGCTCTGTCCCTGCCCACCCCGAGGGCCCGGGAAGGACAGGGAGCACCCAACATCCCTGGCTCTCGGCGCCCGAGGCGCAGGGTCGGCCAGGAGCTGGGTGACTCAAGGTGACGGGCCAGGCAGAGGGCCAGGCCCAGGCTCTGCAGCCCGGGAGGGGTGCTCGGCCTGGCGCCTCCTTTTTTCCCAGTCTTGTTTTTGAGTTGTGGCAAAACACTCCAGATGTAAACCCAGCGCCGCAGCCTCACGGCACCACCCGCGCTCCGAGGACCTCCGCGCCTCTTCCTCCCGCCGAGCTAAAGCGAGGCTGTGACGCTCAGACCCGCCCCCGCCCCCCATCCGCACCCGCTGCTCTGGGTGCCTGCAAAGCGGCAGCGGCAGCCGAGCCATGGCGACTGCTCACTGGGCCCCAAGTCCTCCAGGCCTCAGGTCGCAGCGCGGCAGAACTGCCTCCTCTTCAAGGTCTAACGACCCGCCTGGAGCCCTTCTATACACAGGGAAACGGAGGCTGGGGACAGCCGGCCTCGGCCCACCTTGCGGCCTGGACGTGGGTGGGGCTGCAGACGCAGCCCCTCCGGTGGGCCACGCGGGGGCCCTCCCAGCCCAGCCACTGGGCGGTCAGCGGCCTCCGGGAGCACGGCCTGTCCTCCCACACGCCCGCGTCCACCCCTCCAGCACCGGCACGGGGCCGTTTCTCTGCCTGGAAGGCAGCACACGCTCTGCCACGGGCGCCCACATTTTGCACAAGGGGTGAAGGCTCCAAGGTGGGTGATCCCGGCCTCTGCCCTCTCTGGGCCTCTCTCCCCTGACCGGCCCCCGGCTCAGACCATGGTCTTGAGCTCCTGATACCACAGACACCCCATGTCCTGCATCTGGGCCGACAGCCGGCAGCAAGCCCGAGACGCTGCCCAGCGCGCCTGGGGGTGACCCAGGGCCTTCAAGCTCTCAGGCTACCAAGAAGTCAGTGAGAGGGGGTCTCCCAAACAGCCTGAGGGGTCCTCGGGCGATGGGGGAGCAGCCCCAGCAGGGTGCCGTGAGCTGAGAGGCGGTGGGCCACGGGCCAGTCTGGCCTGACACTGGGTGACGAAGAAACTTCACTGCCCCCACGCCCTGTGGGGACCCCTGGTGGGAAGGAAGAAACCCGAAAGAGAACCATCGGTGGGGCTGGCACGCACGGCCAAGAGGCGAGGCGAGGCCTCGGTCACAGCCAGCTGTCCCGTGCCTGCGGGAAGGAAACCACTGAACATAACAGGCCCTTTCAGCGGAGGGAAGCGGCTTCTACGCAGAGCCATTTTGAAAGGCGGCGAGATCCGGAATCGTAAATAAAAACTTCCCCAGGTTGAGACCCTTCCCCTGCACAGTTGGGGGGGCTCCGTCTTGGGAACAGAAGGCAGGATAAAAGGAAATAAATAAAAGGAAACTCATGTTCCCCTAAGTTTCCATTCCCAGCCTTTTAATAGTCACCAGCATTATCTCTGGGATTGAAAATAGAATTTAAAATAAACAGAGCCCCCAGAAGGGGGGCAAGAATAAACTGCCCTGGGACGCAGGGACCCAGTGTGCTCTTTCGCAGTCCCGAGGGGGCAATCAGGAGGCGCTAGGGCATCGGTCAGGGCAGGTTGCTCCTGAGGAGACGAGCATGGGGCCCGCGTTGGGGACGGAGACCCCGCGGGGACGGGGCAGCGGGGAAAGACCGGAGGGCGCGCGCCTGCTTTCTCCTGGGCCTGGCCCGGTCAGTCTCCCACAGCCCCTGCGCCCCTGAAGCCAGAGTCAGGGGCCCCCTCAGAGGCCAGGGAGGAACAGCCACCACCAGCTAAGCGGGAGAACCCTGGCGGAGCAGGGCAAGGCGGGCAGGCCTGGGGGCGCCGAGGCCGCCCACCCCGCCCTGGGCCCGCGCAGAGCGGGAGGCTGGCCGCTGGCTGGGAGAGACTTGAGGGCACAGATTCCGGTACGGGAATGTTCATCACGGAGTTATTTCTACCCCGGGAAAACTGGAAACCACCCAGAAGCCCATGATCGGATGATGAGTTAAACAGGGAGCGAGCGCGGGCCAGGTGACGAGGGCCGTGGCCGGCCAGGGCCTGCGGCACAGCAGGCCCCGGGCCGTGTGGGCAGCGCCTCCGCGGGCCAGACACGAGCGCCTGGGCAGGCGGGCCGGCGTCAACTGCTGCTTGGAATTGTTTTCACCTCCAGCTCACCTCCCCTTTCTATTACGAGCATGTTACTCAGGTAATTAAGAAAAAGGAAAAGCTTTTCAGAGTCCCACGCCCGCAACTCCGCGGCAGCTGAGACAATGTGAAACTTAAGGATCGGAGACAGCCGGTGTGGAGACACGAGGCCGCAGGTCCGACGACGGGGTGTCGGTGCAGGGGTCCGTGGCTGGGGCAAAGGGACAGACCCCGGACCTTCCAGCAACACGGGCCAGACAGCGTCTCTCAGCACGGGAGGTCAGCAGAACGCATGGCCTTCCCTGAGCGGAACCGGTGTTCTTCACGTGGAGAAAGCAACGCTCCATCGGCCCCTTCCAGGAAGCAAATTGCAAGATCAAAGCCAAAGCTGGGAGCCTTTAGGAAAAGCCCAGGAGACTCTTCGGACATCTTTAAGACGTCGTCCAGGGAGACAGACCCCTGCAGGCACAACAGACCGGCCACGGGAAAGTGGACATCGGCCCGGGAGCAGTGAAGCGCGTGCATGGTGTGACGGCCAGAACTCGGGGCTCCTACACTGACCGGAAAGCAACCCAACAGGAACACGGGAACACGTCGCAACAGCGTGAACAGACAGTGCGTGGGGTCGGGGCGGGGGACGCCGAGTTAATCAGAACCTGCCACGCCACGACGCTGGGCTGGGCGCTGCTCCTGGAAGGGGAGCAGCACGCACCCCGCACCCCAGCCCCTGACAAAACACCTTCCAGAGCCACTTCCCGTGCATGTGGAGCCGGGAAAGACTCCCAGGGCAAGAGGTCAGCAGGACCCCCACAGCGGTCAGAGGGAGGGGCAGGGGCGCCAGCAACATGGATGAGCCCCAGGTGGGGCCAAGCGCGGCCAGGCACGGCCGCGGGACAGGCTGGGAAGAGGCTTCCACAGGGCCTGAAAGAAGTAATTACCAGGGCGACTCTGAAGCCGTTGCTACAAACAGCGAGGTCTGACCCAATCAGTCCCGGACACGAGAGTATCTGCTTTAGTTTCACCCTTTTCTGTAAGCTTAAACTAGCTCGTGCGCAAAATTGACCAAAGCTGTCATCGTTTTGCCCCTCTGGGCGGGTCCTCTCCTGTTCTCACAGCTCCAGGCTCAGC